TTACTTTATGAAATAAATCAGACCTGCATGTTGTAAGCATCGTATTGTCTCACTAGTGTAAGACCTGAAAGAGTGAATAAAAACTTGGAGGTATTATAGACATGGTGAAGTGAAAGGAAAATGCTCAAAAGTAAAGGGCAAGTGGGGTGTGGGAAAAAAGAAGGGAAAGAAGGGGAAATTATGTAAGTATGTATACAGGATAGCTAACATAGTTGTACTACTGTCCTCTGTTGCTCTACAGAAAGGAACAGTTAATGATTACTTGATTAATCAATCTCGTATGTCTCTATTTGTTTTCCTGAGAAACCACTTTGAAGATATCAATAAGTAACATAACAACCATTGTTAATTTCCTACAACTTTGTCTGTAACTCTGTTTTGTTTGTATTGTTCTTATGCTATTTTGTAAATGGATGTCTGTTTGTTAAATGCTGTCCTTTTATTTCTTAAAATAAATTTTTAAAAAAGTTTATCTTACTTTAATTTTGTCCTACAAATAGATGGATTTCTTTCTTCAGTATGTCAAATATCCTAGACCTGATGAAAGATTTCATTCAGTCAGTTAACTAAGATTTCTTTGGTGCCTGCTGCACCCTCATTGAATTCTGCTACGATCTTGGTCTGCTCTTTTCTTTCTTTATTACTTTTTAGTGATATATAGTGCCATTGGCCCCTAGGCTCTGCAGTTTAATAATGCAGTCTGTACTTTTAGGCTATACTATGGTATGGTCTATACTTCATACTGTATAATTTTAAAGTATAGTAGCTTTTAATACTCCTTGGCCCACATAGTTGCTAAGTCCTGTCTCTTTTTCTCTCTGATCTTTTTTCTCCATTCTTATTTTTCATATCAGTCCTTTATCCCTTTCATTCATTTGTTGTTTTGTTTTGTTTTTTTAAGGCTCTCCCTGTGCAGTTCAGGCTGGCCTTGAGTTCATTATGTAGCTCAGGCTAGCCATGAGTTCCTGGCAAGCCTCTTGCCTCTGCCTCCCGAGTGCTGGGATTACAGGCGTGTGTGCCACCATGCCCAGCAGTCCCTTTTCCCTTTCATCCTCATTTTTTCTTATACATGACAAACACCACAAAAGTCTTGATTAAACTCAAGGAATTTTCCTTGACCTTGCAGTGTTCTAGCCTGTTCTGTGCTATACTGTATTTCTTGTAAAGAATAGTCTTTGATGTTGGGATTTTTTTACACCCACTCATTTCTTAGCCCATTGTCGTCCTTCTTTTAACTGTCACTCAGAAAACTCTGGTGGTCCTTTCTGAAATCTTCCCTTCCATTGTCGGTGCCCTGGAGGTGGTGCATTCTTTCTCACAGGATGTTTCCCCTTTGCGGCTGTATGAAGTCTTATTACTCCTGGGACCAGCTTTTGTAGATGACTCGTAAGTTGATGTTTGTTTGAGTCCAGGTCTCCATACCCACTGGATATATCTCTGTGCATTTTCAAACACATACTGCTGAACACTGAGAAGAGCTATAATATAGTTGCCATGGAAATTGTAAGCATTTTAAGGTCAAGACATAATGTGCTCTGGCTGCTCTAATAGGCAGAGAGGATAGTGAGATTGTTTCCATTTTTCTTGTTCTTGAAGTTCTGATTTAGTTATTAAAGCACTCTGTAGAATTTTGATAGGAAACAAATACTGAAACTGTAGGCAAGTGAAAATCTTCTTTGAAAGGGGAAGGACAGTAGCAGTGAGATGGGTCAAGACTCTTCTGCACTGAGCCTGGAGGAGACAGTGGTGCTTGAACAAAGGTGGTAGCATTGCTGATTGGCCTAGGGTTGTTTGCTCAGTTCACATGGAAATCATGACCTCAGCAAGGTGCAGCTCACCTGCTGGCCCCTGCCCTGTCAGCCGTCACCACCTGTGCTGGTCTCTGGAGCTTTGCAGTGTTAACTACTTGGAGTGTTTATCTGTGTCTGCTCTGCTTGCACTATCAGGAGTTTTACAAATCCCAAATAGATTGACAGGAATTGGAGTGCACCCTACTCAAGCAGATTCACAGGAATACCAAAGCAAGTCTTGATTTCCACAGGGCCTGTGCTGCGGCACAGGAGGGATCCCCAGAAAGGTGGCTTGGAATGCTGCTAATATAAATGCTGCAGGCCTATTTAGTGAGGGTGAGGGCTGAAAGTTTGGGGTGAATACTAGGTAGGTAAATAACAGGCCCAGGCCCTTCCCTCCCCGATCTTAGCACTCCAGAGTGCCCTCTCCAAAATGCACCAGTACCCTCTGAGGTGGTTGGGTGGAGGAGGACACCTTGCTGCCTGGCTGTACTCACCAAGCGCAGGGTGGGTATTTGTTCGATAGCCAGGGAGCACACTGCTGGGTAGCCAGGGGGGAAACCACTAGCCAAGGAGAACGCCACGGGGTAACTAGAGGGGACACTGAAGAAACTGTCCCAGCCCATTGGGGTGCAAGGGCGAGACACAGCTCCTCCAGCCAGCCAGGAAAAGGGAGAGGCGGGTGCTTCTCTGTCTCAGTAGCAGCGGCTCTAGGTTCCTTTCTTTATGGGGTAGATCCTGCCTAGAGTTTTAAGGGGTGAAGTTTTACTGACAATAACTTGAAGTAACACTGATAATATAAATGTTCAGTGATATTTAAGCAGAATTGTTCATTAGATATAATTTAAATTTTATGGGAGTGTAAACGCTGTGTAGCCTGGAATACGTACATGCTTTTCAAACTTATACACCAGAAAGATGGTGTTTGGAGGTTATATTGCAGTAGAACTACTTACAGAATGCTGATATTGGCATTTGAAACTGGTTCAAGCAAGAAAACATGTGTATCATTTATTGCATGTAGATGGCTTAGTTTTCACCTCAACTTGAACCTTAGTAAGAAAATCAAAAAGCTATCTGTTGGGATTTTGTTTCAATGAATCGTACCGCTTTGGAGAACTCTAGCTGCAAAAGATTGTGCTGATGTTAATGTGCTGAAATGAAATTAGATTACATTTTTGCTGATTTTAAAACAAAAAATCTGTTATTATGACCTCTAAACTTTACATTTGTATTCTTCTAAAAGCATCCATAGGCATAAATCTAAAACATAAAATGAGATATGTTCGTTACCTTTTAGAAACACCGTTTCATAAAAGAGCAGTTATGCAATTCAGGTGTTTACACGCTGAAGTTAATATAAGAAAATATTACAAGGTTTTTATTGACTTATATAAGCACTTTACCTTTTGAGCTCTATAAAAATATGAACTCTTCCTGGCCAGAGATTCTTCTTTTATGGCTGGGTCACACAGATCAAAGAACTCATAGCGTGTTAAATGTTGGCGTGAGGCAGAGCTGTTGCCTGCAAAGGAAGAACAGTAGAAATTTATCTTCCCACATTTATTTGCAAGGTGTTTTCAAATAAATCTTCTGTTGATACCTCATATACCTAACCCTATCCCCAAGGGTAGAAGTTACAGATAGTTAGGCTATTTCTAAGCTGAGATACTCAGTCCTTTCTAGCCTGTCACATTGGTATTCATTTAGACAGGTAAGATTTTGAAAATCTTGCTCCATGAAAAGGCCATAATTGTAGTATATAGAACTCTGTATAGCAAAAGAAGCTTAAGGTGTAATTATTTAAGAAGGCTCAAAATAAGAAATAGATGTGGGGAATTTATGTTGAGCGAGATAATAAGCTACCAAGAAACTGCTCTTCTCAGAAGATGTTCAAGAAGGGGTTGGATAGCCATGTTTCAGGGCTTTCCAATACCAAGGGTGAGAAATCTGACGATATTGTCTCTGGGTTTCCTCCAAACTGTGCCATTCTACAAAAACTACCATAGGCTTAGAGGCCATTAACGTTTGGTTAACCTGTAATTCAAGTAAATTGGCTGATTTAGAAGCAGGGTCTGATACAGGACTTTCAGGTGCATATAATTATTTAAGTGGTCTCACTCAAAACAGAAGCAATTTAGGACTGGGAAGGAATTAAATAAGAATGTGGTCTAGCTGAGTTAGCGTGGGACTGATTCCCTGTGGAGCTCTGGAGCATAAATTGTGCTACCCAGTTGCTCCTACCTTGAGATGGAGGGGGTAGTTTATATTCCTGTTAGCGCTATTTGGTAACTAGCTGTTACACGCATAATGATCCAGGTGAGGCAGCTTGTATGTGGCTAGTGGCAATTCCCCAGAGAAGGATCCAGCTCTGTACTGATAGCAGCTGATATTCAGAGCCCCTGGGGTTGGTGCACTGGCTGCAGACACCAGGCCAGCAAAGAAAGATTCTCAGTGTATTAGAAACAGAAAATAAGAAGAATGAGATGCTAGAGAAAAGCACAGCACTGGCATAGTAGCACCGCATGAAGCTGACCTAGATCCTTGAAACCATGTAGCACAAGGATGGATGTTCTTTACGCAGCTCCACGACCTTAGGGCATCACAGCCATTCCAGTAATGGACACCATAATGCTCATCGTGAGTGAAAAGGGAGAAAAACTGTTTTAGGATAGGCAATTGATGAGACTGTGTGTTGATGAGGCCATTTTTATTGTTATAATTTAATTCCTTCACTCACCAGTCTTTAGTTACTCAGAAAACGAATAGCATATTTGTGAAAGTTCTGGAGAGGGCCATCAGGTAGAAGCATAAAAAGCTGTGTTCTACAAAAGTGATTACTTTTTGGACATTAAAGGCATTTCAGAGAGTCTCACATTTTGAGGCAGGATATTAATGTCTCGCTTTACTCTCAGGAAAGTTGTCAGGAAGGGACTTTGTGCTTTGTTTCTGTTAAACAGATGGGTGATTGTAAGGTGGCAGCTCCCACAGTAACACACTGCATCATTCTCATTGTGATTTGCATAACTGCCAGCCCCCTCCATTACTGCTATTATAGTACCAGCTCTTCAAGTTTCATTTTCCAGTGGATACCCTCAGACCGTTTCACAGAAACTCTCAGTGTAATCCCTGAAGAACTCATCAGGTACAAAAAGCTGCTTTTGATATATCAGTGTTCTCTAAAATAATCTAATTCTTTTTCTTCTTCAGTACCATAATGCAACCTTTGACTGGGCATACTTATCAAAGAAGGAGTGTTTGAAATATGGAGGGAAGCTCGTGGGGAACAACTGTGATTTCGTTCCTGACATCACGCTTATGTCTTGCATCCTCTTCTTGGGCACCTACGCCTCCTCCATGGCTCTGAAAAAATTCAAAACTAGTCGTTACTTTCCAACCACAGTAAGTACCTGACCTTGAAATATCTTCCTTGGATTTATACAGTACCAACAGTAAAACAGTATTACAAAATGGAAAAGGCACCTGAATTAATTTGTCCAGTATAAATCTGTGCATTTTAAAATTGGTATTCCAGCCTTTGTTCATGTAGATACGTATTTAACATAATTGTAGTCCAGCTTTGGAAACTTCCAAATATTTGCTTACATAATTCTGCCATAAATTTTGACTGTCATAATTCTGAATTACTGAAAAGAAAAAGTAGGATGTATTCTATCTAAAAATGCAGAAGTGAAGAAAAAGACCTTTTAAATCATAATGCCTAAGTACATCTGCAAAAAACGCTTTTCATATTAATCAGGAAGTTTGGAAGGTTGTGTATCTTAGCTGTCCATGGGCTTCAGTACCTGACCTCGAGGGCAGGAGAGCACTTACCCCCTGTTACCCTATTATTGCTGTCACCCAACCCACACTTGTCATCCACAGTGAGGACTGATGTAGTTCTGTTGTGTAGACATCCTGCCTTTTGTTAGTATGTCTGAGTGAACTCAAAATCAAAACTGTGATTCTTTGAGAGACTAGAAATTAAGAGCAAGATTTAGTTAACAGCATCTTGTTTATGTATTTGGAGAATAAAACTAAGATAATCCTGTGCTGTATAGTTCAGTTCTTAGTGGCTAGGATGTCAGTATTTCTTAGGTAATCTTGATTACACTTGGTTTAGATCAGGGACTGTTCTATAAATTTGTCATCTTGTGAAATCTGTACTCCATCTTTTGTGGAGGATAAAAACTTGGAAAGATGAGATGCACTTGATAAGTCTTTTTCCCAATTGCTAGAAAATAAAATTTAAAAGGTTGGTATACTCACTTCATGTAGAAAATTTTGGACTGTTTACTTCTTATAAAATTTGAAAAAAAAAAAAAAAAAAAAAAACAAAAACAGGTTGATAATGAACTCTCCAAAAGAACTAAATGGCCCAGTGCATGAACAAATTTCACAAAAGGAAATGTAATGTCTACAATCCCAGCACTCTGAGAGGCTGAAGCCTTAGAGGATCCAGAATTCAAGTCCAGCCTGGGCAATTTAACAATAGAGAGAGACTGTCCCGGAGTAAAAAGGATCTGTGATCCTGGGTTCGATTCCCAGTACTACCCACATACATGCACACATGCCTGCACACATATCATAAAAGTTCTACTTAAAATGGGACATCACACACTGGAGAGCCACCAGCAGAATTTAGTGCAGTTTTCTGTTTAGCCCACAGCGTGTATACACATGCGCATGTGCACATACAGGTGAGACCTTACTTAGAACCAGGACTTTGCAGGTGGTCAGTGGGTCCATAGAGCTCTGCTGTTTAAGTCTTCCCCACTTGGAGCTTGCTGATGAAGGGCCTGTTCCATTTGAGATTGCAGTCCCAGCTCACCCCGTGGCAAATGTGCTCACTCAGTTCATTTCTTCATCTGGAGGAGGTGACCCTCAACCCCTCTCCGTTGTGCTGGAGATGGAACTCAGGGCCTCCTAACCGCTAGGCAATGCTGTACCACTGAACTGCAGCCCCATTCTTGGATGAGTTTTCTACAAAACAGATTCCTGGTTAAAGATCTCTGAAAACAGTTTCTTCTGTATTGAGAGTTTTCCCTTGTGATCATTAGTCCATTGGATGTCATTATTTTGTTTTATTACATTTTTAACTTACATTTTATAAATCATTACCACTAAGTCTAATATTATTTAAGTGTAGTAGGTGGAGAAGTGGAAAATGTGTGATACATTTGTAAGTTGTAATTGTGAAATAAGCTAGTTTCATCCTCAAGTTGAAGCAAGATTAGCTTTTTTCTACTTTTAACTTTAATTGACAAATAATAAATGTAAATATTTATGGAATACAATGAAACATTTTGGTATATGTGTACCATGTGGAAAAATTAAGTCAAGTTAATTAAATCTCCATAATCTAACAAACTTATCATTGAGAACAAATAAAATCTACCCTTTTGAAATTTTAAAATAGTCAACATGTATAAAGAACTCAAAAAATTACACACCCCCAAAGTAAAAGACCTAATCAAAAAATGGGCAAGTGAAAAGAATAGATGCTTCATGGAAGCAAAAGTACAAATGGTCAATAAATACCAAAGCAGTGTGCAATATCACTGACCATTAGGGAAATGCAAATTAAAACAATACTGAGATTCTGTCTTAGCCTGGAAAGAATGGCCATGATCAAGAAATCAAATAACAAATGCTAGTGCATCTGTGGTGGTGCTGGGGAACCTTTCTACATTGTTGGTGGGCATATAAACTAACATAATCACTATGGAAATCAGTGTGGAGAGTCTTCAAAACATTAAAAATAGAAATTCCATTTGACTCAGCTATTTCCCTTCTAGGTGTCTTCTCCAAAGAGTTAAAGACATCATAGTACAATGATCCATGCATACCTGTACTATAGCAGCGTAATTCATAATAAATCTTAGAAGCAGTCTGTATGTCCATCAATAGATGAAGGGGTAAAGAAAATATTTTACACATAATGGAGTACTACCCAGCCATAAAGAAAGATAAATTTGAGTCACTTGTAGAAAAATGGATGCACCTTGAGACCATAATGTTAAATGAAATAAATCAGATGCACAAACTTAAATATCAAATGATTTCTTTCAAATGAGCAATCCAAAATATAAATAAAGAGCAAAATAAAAGATGGTAATAGGAAGTGAGGAAATAAATCTTTCTCAAATGGGAAGGAGATCCAGAGATGAAGCGGGGGGAGAGGGAAAAAGAATGAAAAAGGAAGTGGGATGTGTCTTGTACATGTACCAGCGCCACACGAAGAATGCAGGCAGTATTTGCTGCAAGTGTGTACCATGAAAATACACAACCATGAGATAAAATACAGCATACTGTAGCTGTAGTCACCGTGCTCTACGTTGGTTCTCACAGCGTTCTCCTGTCTATCAGGACCTGGTGCTGTGCAGCCAGCAACCTTCTCTGGTTTGCCCCCCTCCTCATAACTGCTATTTCTATGAGTTTAGTGTTTTAAAAGTTCTTCATGTAAATGAGATCATGCAGTATTGGTCTTCCTATTCTTGGCTTACTTCACTTAGCATAGCGTCCTCCAGGCACCTCCGGGTTGTCTCAAATGGCAACACGTGCTTCTTTTCAAAGGTAGAACGCTGTTCTCCTGTGTGCGTATACCACATTTTCAATAGCCATTCATCCATTGATGACCATTGATTCATTCTGTATCTTGACTGCTGTGAATAATGCTGCAATGAACTGGAAGTATAGATAGTCTTCAGCATACCGATTTCATTTCCTTTGGGTATGTGCTGAGTAACAGGATTGCTGCTTTATAAAAGCATAGTAATTCCACTTTAAATTTTTGGAGGAACCTTCCATAATGGCTATACTGACTTATATTCCCAACAGAGTGCAAAGGTTCCCTTTTCTGCACACCTTTGCCAACACATTACTTTTGTCTTTTTGATCATGACAATTTTAATGTGTTAAATTTGACATGTGTTAGATAACTCATGGGGAATTTAATTTTCATTTCCTATGTTAATTAATGGTGTGAGAGGAAATACCTGGGGACCAAGACTGTGGGAAAGACTAGATTTAAATCTGTCTAGGTACAGGCAAGCTGACATGGGAGCAGTATGAGTGACTATATGGAGGGGAGGCTGTGTGCATTTAGGGTTTGGGGTTGGGGCCCATGTCCCAAGGAATCTGGAGGGAATGTTTGTGGTCAAAGCTGTGAGGATGGTCAGCATAGGTGTACATATAAAGCAGGGTCTTCTGGAGTGAGGGAGAGTGCAGATTCAGTCCTAAATTTCTTTATGGCCATCACTTCCTTGTTTGCAGAGGGCAGTTGGGATTCCTGTTGTTTGTGGAGGGCAGTGTGAAGGTCTTTCTCAGGTCAGGCCTGACACCCCGGCATTTAGATGTTGAGCATTTGTAGACTTGTTGGCCATTTGTGTGGCTTTTGGGGGGAGCTGTCTGTAAGGTACTTGGCCTGTTGTTAAAATGGGTATTTTTTATTATTAGAGTCAAATTCCTTATATATCCTGAATATCCTTTTATCAGATGTGTGGCTTGTAAATATATTTTCCTAACCCATAGATTATCTCATTACTTTACTGGTTGATTGTTTTAGTCTGCAACTTTGCAGTACTTTAATGCAATCTCATTTTTTCTAATTTCATGTATGTTTCCAGTATTGTTGGGGTCATGTCTAAAAAACAAAAAAACTAATGTTGAGGTATGAAACTAGGTTTTTTATTTGAAAACAACAGTAATTTGTGCATAAGTATTGAATGAAGCTATGGATGAAGCTTTTCTCATTTTCATCTAACAGTTTTATAGCTTGAGGTTTTACATTTAAGTATTTAATCCATTGGAATTGGTTTTGTATGTGATGTGGGAGGAGGGTCTAATTTCATTCTTTTTTATTTCAAGGAGAATAAAAAAATAATAAAATACCAACAACATAGACAAAAACAAAACAAAGCAAAACCAAAAATGATACAGGGTTTCAAAACAAAATGATAAGAATTAACAGTGGTTATTATATTATGTAATGTTATCTTCAACAAATTTGCTCACATTACTAGATGCAAGAATGCAAGATTGATCAAATCATTAAAGAGAATAAAAAACCATTAGAAACAACACAGAGTTTCACTAGACAAGATGGTAGGAATTCATTCTTGTACATGTGGATATCCACTTTCCTCAACACTTTGCTTTAAAGAGAAAAATAAAAAATAAAAAAATAACAATAACAATAAAACAGTGTCTAAAACAGGTTAGTAGGAGAGTTACAATAATTAATACATGTGTCTTGTTGTTTTTGTAGTAGTTATTCGCAGTACAAGACAAAGGCATGATCTCTTGTCCAAATAATGTTAACACAACCCTTTCTTTTCAATGAACTAATAGAAACTAGATGTATCTTAACTATCTTGTGTATAAATATATATTTTTCTTTT